ACTTCTGAGAGCCTTGGAAGGAGGGAGTGAGGCAGAGAGATGCTTCGACCACCATCTTCCCTGCCCTAGGATGAGAGCCCACAGCCCATTACCAGCATCCACAGCGTACCCATGCCGCTGCTGTGATCCTGGCACCAGCAGCCCAGGCCCGCCGCTCCCCCCGCCGCCCAGAGACCGTTTCATTCCCTCAGCAGCCCCATGAAACAGAAACAAGCAGCAGCTTCCTTGGTGGGTCAGTCCTGCGCGGTTACTTTGAAAGTCAGTCCTAAAAAGCACACCCTCAAGTCTGGTCTTCAGCCCAGAGGAGGGCCAGCAGCTTCCACGGAGACCCTGGACCCATCTTGGGAATTTTTTCCTGCTGAAATTAGCTATGGAGGGTTCTGTTCTCTGCACTAGAGCCCAGACTGAGGTTTATGAATTCACAGCCATGCTGCCTACCAGATGGGTCTGGGGCCGTACAATTTGTTTCTAAACTAAATGAGAAGAAAGAGGCAGATGGGTGAGTCTTCTCTCCTGGACAGTCACAGATTCCGGGGGCTATCTCAATCAGGGGAGGTGGGAGTTGCTGGGGGAGCTCCAGCCCCCTCCCCCGGGAACGCCTTCACGCGTCACCTTCCTTAGTTTAGCGAGGACCGGAGGACAGAGGATGCGCAGTCTGAGACGCAGGTGAGGGCGGTTTTAGAGGAGGCCAAGAGAGGGAGGGAGGTTTGGGGTGGGGCTGGGTAGGAATGGGTGTGGCGGACTTGGTGCTGAGGAAGGCGGAGAGCTGACAGCAGGCTGGGGCCCCAGGCCCAGCGGAGAGGAAGGGGCTCCCCCCTAGGCTGGAGAGGCAGCCCGGGCCTCAGCTGGAGGTTGAGCCCTAGGAGTCAAATCGTGAAACCCTCCAGGCAGGAGTGGTGGGGATAGCAGAAAAGCCCCACTTTCCTGACACGTCCCCCCACCGCCCCCGTGCCTGAGGGAGGAGACAGGGGCTGAGCTCCCAGAATAGCAAGGCCCAGAGCAGCCGGGTCACAAGGAGCAGAGGGCAACCCACAGGTGTGGGGCTGGGAAGGCCGCCAGAGCAGGCAGCCAGAACCTGCACCTCCAACACACCTGGCACCTGGTCTCTTTCCTTGCAGGCAAAGGGCCTTCAGAAGGTGGCTCATGAGGCCAACCAGTTCCCGTGTGGGAGCCCCAGATGCAGAGACCAGGAAGCTACAGACGGGACCCATAATCCAGGGGAGCCGGGGTAAAGCAAGACCAGGAGCAGAACTCAGACTCAGATTCCCACGGTCTGGGAAGAATGCGAAGAAAACACCTGCGCCAGCAGGAATCGCCCAAGCCCCCGCCTGACCAAGGAATAGACAGCAAAGGCTTTCCTGGAAAAAGGGGCTTGCAGACCCCAACTCACGACACCAGCAGGGAGGAAGCCTTGTCGAGGCTGGGGCGGTGGTGGCAGCAGGCGAGGAGCACCTGGGATTCAGGACCAGGCTCAGGGCCATAGGCAGTCCCAGGGCCGAGGGGCTCCGGAGGAAGCGCAGGGGCTGCCGGGAAAGAGCCTGGTGTGGGCGGGGGCAGAGCAGGAGAGAGACTGGCCTGGTCACAGCCCCACTGGGACAGCTGCACTGAGCCTGTGTGAGGGCACTCAGAGGGGACAGCTGGGGCCCAGGCAGAAAGACAGTGAGGGGCCAAGCCTGGACAGTTCAACCAACACCCATGGAGGCAGGGAGGGAGCCGGACAGCCCCGTGGGCCACCCAAGCCAGCAGGACCCAGCTCCTGCAGACACAAGCAAGGGATGAGTGCCACTCTGTGAGTCACAGGGAATCACTCAGAACGAGGGACTGCATCAAAGCACGCCAGAACAATCCAGGCTGAGTCCGGGGCCTTCCTGAGAGAGGCTGGTAACGGTTGGAGAACAGGGATCTGAGACAGGGCAGGCGGGGTCTGCTGCTGGGAAGCAAGGAGGCTGGGAAGCAAGGCTCCCCTTGGCCCCCAGCAGGGGCTCCGGCGGTTCAGCCTGAGGCCACTGGATTCAAGACCTGGGGTGCCTCGGTCTGACCAGAGAGACCGGGCGCCTCCTAAATCTGAGACGCAGCAGGAGTGCTTCCTGGCTGTGGAGGAATGAACAGCAGATGGTGGAAAGGCACCAGGGGAGGGGGTGGGCCGGGGGTCCAGGACAGGCTGCCCAGGCTGGGCCCAGAGGAGGGCCAGCGGGTTCCACGGAGACCCTGGACCCATCAATGACAGGAGTAGGAGTGGGAGGAGGCCGGCCTCTGAGACGCTGGGCCTGGGGCTGAGTGCCCGGATCGCTGCCTTCAGGGACTAAAGAAGACCCTGAGACCCAGGGAGACCCGGTGATCCCCTAAATCCTGCAGCCGCAAGGCTCTTGGGAGCATCTCAGGAAGGGGAACATAGATGACTGCTGGGAGGGTGGAGCTTGAGGGAGTGGAATATTCAGCTAAGCAGCCAAACAGAAAAGGAAGTTCCTGGCCCAGCGGCTTCGAGGGTCACCAGAGTCACCTTGGAACTGTGAATTCCTTCAAACCAAGCCCAGCAGAGCCCAGGGAGTGGCGCTAAGGACACTGGGCATCCGGGGACCCTGCTGCAGGGAAGAACATTGAAGACTCTGGAGAAGGAAGCCTGTCCGGGCTGGAGAGGGCAGGGGACCAGTGCGGCTTGGGTGACAGATGTCCTAGGAAATGAGCCGTTTCCACACCAGCAACTCAGCCCTTGGGTAGGGTGGGCTTGGGAAGAGCACTCTACTTAAGAGGGCATGACATAGAACGTGTCGAAGTGGGGTCCCCCCGCAACCTCCCTTCCCAAAATCCTAGACACCCCTCTGCTGTGTGCCCAGGATACAGAGAGGCAGGGCTATGTGGGGGCATTCCTGGACCTCACCCACAGGGGGCTGCCCCACTTACAGCACCCAGACCCCTGTCCCTCCTGAAATATCCAGTTCCTGGGGCCCGGCCAGCAGAGGAGGCTTCATTCACCCAACACTGTCCACAAGGTCCAGCCACACTTAGAGCCATTTGTCCAAAACGGAGAAACCATAGCAAGTGGACACGATGACAGGCCACCTTTGTGTCGCGGCTATTTTGTGTCACTTGGTGTGTTTCAGGTAAGTGCTCAGTGTCCTGGAGTACTTGCAAATAAATTGATTATGTGTAAGGAAGACCTTCATTCAGAAGCGGGGTCTTCTTTTCCATAACGGCCCATAGGTTAAGATGAAACTGTGTGGGCTCACAGCGCTTGCTGGCTCTTCAGATCATCGAGGCGTGTAGAAAGGGAAGCAGACATGCGACACTTATGGAGTGGGGGGTACTTAAGGACACGTCCCTGATTGCATTTGTAAACAGGACCAAAATTAGTCCCAAGCCCCCCAAAACAGGAGTGTTTAAACGTGCTTGATTTAGAAACACAACCACTTCTGAGTTGAAATGAGGCGGCCGGGGGTTCGCCTTTGTAACGTGAGGGAATAACAGTGGCTTTCAGAGCCTGAGTAAGGATGCTGCCGGATTTCCACGCACCGGAGCGAAGCCACCCCGGAGGACACTTCCACACTCCCAGGAGCCGCAGGGCTCCCCCCGCCCAAGGCCGGGGAAGGCAGCCGAGGGGAGCGGCCTGAACTTGGACTAGCCGGGTTCAGACACCTTTAATCACCTCCTAGTGTCCCGAGGAGCAAAACGAGTCCTTCAACAGAAATTGCACCTGCTGGTGAAGAGAGCATTGGTAGTGCGGCAGGCAGGCGGGGAGCAGGGGCTCCTGGGGCCCAGGGTTGGGTCCAGGGAACACAGGGCAGCCCCAGATGACGGTCCTGAGGGACAGAGCCTGTCAGGGCCCGGGGCCTAGCCCTCTGCGCCTCCCAGTGAAACTTCCCTCACAAAGGAGGCCCGGCCTGCCAGGAAGCAGAGCTAAGGAGCGGCTGTACTGGCTGTGGCCCCCTTGGGATGGCTGCACCGAGACGGCGTGAGGGCACCTGGAAGGGACAGGCGGCAGAAGGTGAGCAGCCCTAGGCCCTGGGCTATCCCAGAGGGTCCCCAAACTACAGCCACCCCCAATGGAAGCAGGCAGGGGGCAGAACAGCCCTGTGTGCCACCACAGCCACCTGGACACAGCTCCTGTCCATCTAGGACTGGGCTGAAGGCCACAGTGTGACATCGGGGACTAGCTCAGACCCACGGAGTCCAAAATACCCCGCAGCAATCCAGGCTGAATCCAGGGGCTTTCCGGGAGGAGGGTTTTGTAGCAACTGGGGAACAAGAGTCTGAGAGAAGGGCAGGTGGGCTCTGCCCCTGGGGAGCGAGGAGGCTGCAGCTGGCCGATGGGCTCCAGACTCAGCCAGCGCAGAGGTTGGGCGATTCAGCCTGAGGTCACTGGACCCTGACCTGAGTGCCTCAGCCTGACCAGAGACACGAGGCATCTCCTAAATCTGAGAAGGACTAGAAGGCCAGAAGGGCCAGTGAGGAGGGCTCCCAGCGTGGAAAAAGACATCATACAGGAGGGCACCAGAGGAGGGGTGGGCCGGGGACAGGACAGGCCTGTAGGAGGCCTGGGGGGTCCCACGGAGACCCTGAACCCACCCTAGACAGGGTGCAGAGGCTGACCTCAGAGACCCTGGGACCCAGGGTCACTGACGGGGGGCTGAGGTCCAGGAATGCCACCACAGGGCCCTGCCTCTCTGTATCCTGGGCGTGAGAGGCAACAGCGGCAGAAAATAGAGAGCACACAACTGAGAGGCGTCTAGGATGTGGGGAAGGGGGTCATCGGGCCACCCATCAGACGGGCGTGGTGTCCAGATGCACAGTGACCCTGGAATTGACTTCCCCGCTGGCCTCCTCTCTGCAGACCCCCTTCTTTTTTCCCTTGACCGCAGGCAGTGATCCCCCACTCGCCCCATCCACTAAGCCTTGGCCCCATGAGGGGGGCTCCCAGTGGGAAGGGAAATGGTGGAACGGACAGCGGGGGTCGTGGCAGCGCGGCATGGGAGGAGTATAACAGGACACGGACCGCGGCCCCATAGCTTTAAATAAGAAATTTATTGCAAATATAGAAATTGATTCTCTCCATACAGGAATCTCCGAGTTGAGGAAAACAATTTCGTGCCATTCAGTTTTAAAACAGGAAATTGAGGGGAGGAAGAGGCAGATACAGGGAAGAGAAAATAAAGTTAATCCCCCCCCGAAAAAAAAAAGAGAAGAAAAGGAGAGGGTTCAAGGCCCTCAGAGGAAGGAAAGGTCCGTACACAGCAAGGGTTCACAGGTTCAGAGCCCAGGGCTGGGGCCCAGCTCTGCAGGACCCAAACCAGGTGCCCAACCACAGCCAACTTGGGGGCTGGTGGCTCAGGAGGGCGGGAGGGACAGTGGGAGGGAGGGAGAGATGGTGAGAGGGCTGTGTGGCCGACACTGCAGGAACTCCCATCCCCTGCCGGGCCCTGCACTGGGTGGAGTGGCAGAGGGGCAGGAGGAAGGAGGCCCAGACCATCCTGCCCACCCTACCGGACCCCTTCCTCTCCTTCCCGCTCTGCAGGACTGCCTGACCTTAAGTGAGGGCTGAGGCTGCCTCCAGAGGCAAGCAGTGTGCACCCTGGTTCTGTCTTAGAGGTGGGAGGACCCAGAGTCAGGGAAGGAGTGTGTCAGGACAGGATCTGAGCCTGAGGGTTAGAGGAGGGCCCCTCTCCTGGAGCTCAGCCACCTCCGGAGCAGCCACCTTGTCAGAGAGGAGAGATGGCAGTACGGTGGGGCAGCCTTGCCCCAACCTTCACACCGGCTTCCCCGGGCCAAGTTCATGGAGACGAGACCCTGCTGGGCCTGGAATGGGCAGGGGCAGAGTGGTAGGGGATGGAGGTGGTGCTTGGGGACAGGCACCCACTGCAACCCCATTCCCTCCAGGCTCGTCTTCACACCTGCCCACCCATCCTTCTGGCTCCTCTGGTCATTCAGAGCTTGGTCCCCTGTCCCCCCCATCCCCAGGGGATGCTCCCTGACCACCTTTGGCCCTCCCCACCCCATCACCCCATTTTAATTCTCTGCAAGGCACCAGTCACCAGGGAGCTTTGTGTCTGTCCCTTCCCTGCACTTAGACCCCTCAGAAGCGGGGACCTGTCACTGCTGTCCCTAATTCCTGATGCCATCCTGGCCTTAGCACTGTCACTGCCAGGTTTCTTGACTCTAAGTTTCCTTCCCTCTCCTTTTCTTCTCTGCACTTCTGTCTCCCCCTCTGTTAAATTTCCAGGGGGTGGGTGGGGAAGGCAACCAACTTCCAGTTGAGAACATGGTGACTTTCGGCCAGCCCGACACTCCACGCTGCAGCCTCTCAGGGGCGATCCAGGCCCTGCCTTCCCAAGTGAGTCTTTTTATTCCCACCCTCCCCACTGCCCTGACCTGCCCCACGGGCCTCCCACACTGCCCAGGAGGGGAGCGCAAGGGAGGGATCATTGGTAGGCAGAGAGAGACGACTCCTGCTGCAGGGAGAAGCGAGGCCGAAAGGCCGGGGCCCGTGAAGAGGTGTCCCCACCACCTAGGCTTTCTTGTCTTCCTGACAGTCTCCATAATTTGCTTCTAGAAGGCCATGAGCTCCAACAGAGGGCTAGCCACATCAGCTGTGCCCTTCAGGAGGGAGCAGGCCCATCCCTACTTCCCAGAAACAGCTTCAGAGGTAAGTCTCCAACAGGTACCAGGAACGGGCAAGCCCAGGTGTGACCTCGTTCAGGCCCAAGGCAGGAGACCTCCCCGCAGAGGTCCAGGGCGCTGCACCCACATTCCTCCAGCCAGCTTAGCTCGACCCCTCACTCCGCCGGGCCCCCCTGCCCTCCTCTCCTGGGTGTCTGCCCCCCTGGCCTGCCCCAGCTCCACCGTGCTGCTCATCACCATCACAAACCCAAACCTTAACCAGACTCCTAGATGGCAACGTTCAGGCGTGTTTAGTGAATCCTTCCCTCCTGCCTGGGAAAAACTCTTCCTGAGCGGGAGGCGGGACACAGATGCAGGCCAGCCTCCAGGTGGGTGGGCCCTCCTCCAGCTGAAAAGCTGGGGTCTGGCCTGGCGGGGGAGGCCAGAGACCTGAGTCTTAAGACTGCCCTGCCTCACAAAGAACCACATGAACTGAGTCTTCAAGGCCAGTCCCCTCCCGGAGTATGAGGGTCCTGCTCTCCAGACGGGGCCCTGTCCCTGCAGTTGGAGCATCTGAGGTTTTGATAGGGATCTTCAGGCAGGAAGGATGGGGAAATGGCAAGGACAGGCGCCCGCTCCTACTGCCGGGAACCCTCCCTGCGGCCCACCCAGGCGGGCTCCTTCTTCCCACGGTTCCTTTCTCAAAGCCCCCAGCCTCTCCATGAAGCCCCCCACAAAGCCCCAAGCTCCTCGTCTCCTATACTCAGCAGTGTAACCGACCCTCCACCGCAGCTGGCTGGCCAAGTCACCAGGCCCCTATCTGAGAGCCCTGACTTCCTCATCTGCAAAATGGGAACAAGCAGGATGGACGGACAGTCCTTTCCACCCAGACATGGACCCTCAAGGAGGCTTCCCTGGGGCTGCCCTCCCTGGCACGGAGGAGGGGAAGGAACTAGGGAAAAGGGAGGTGGCAGTGGGAAGATGGAGGAGGGAGGGAGGTGGCACTTATGGGCCCAATGCCCAGAGAGGCAGGAGGTGGGGCAGGGCTGTGTCTCGGTGGCACCTGTTTTGGGTCTGTGTTTGCAGAGCTGACCCCTCCCTGGGTTTCAAGAGCTGCTCGTCAGATCATAACAGACGCAATGTGGGAAAGGAGGGCGTCGGGGAGGGGGCGGGGGAGTCTGGACAAACTGGCACATACACGACAGATGTTTGCTCAGAAAAATACAGTAAAATCGTCATGCAAATAGAATGGGGGGTCTGCTTGCTCACACCCCTGGCTTCTCTGCCTGTTTGCTGTTGTCAGTTGTGCCAACTGGGTGTGAGGAGGGGTTGGGGCAGGTTTGGGGGACCGGGGGAGGGAGGTCTACTCCAAGCGTCCATGCCGCACCCCCCTCCTCGCCCCAGGGAGAACAGTCTTTTCTTTGCAAATGTCACCCCCAAAGTGAGCCCTGGGCTTTGTTCACCCCACAGTCGGGATGAGAGAGGTGCTGAGCTGAGCCTGAGCCTCCCAGCCCTCCGCTGTCCCCCTGGACCCCTTGCCCCCAGCAGGAAGATGGTTGGGGCCCCCCCTAGGATGGCACTCACTTTCCCAGTCAGTCCCTCCCCACCAACACTGCCCGTCTTGTCCCACCCCAGCCCCTACCCTCACCCCTCAATCATACTCTCCGAATCTCAGGAAACCCATGTGGGCCACAGCCCCAAGGTTAGGGGTCTCTGGCAGGGGCGTGGGGAGAGCCAAATCCCCCCTCCCATGCTGAGGTGGGTGGGAGCCGAGGGGCACGTCATCAGGTGGGCAAAGTTGCTAGTACAGGCTTCCCCACGCCCCACAGGCCCAGCTCCCACCCAGAGGTGAAGGATGATGGACTCCCGCCCCTCAGCATCCCGACTGGTTAAGATCCCAATCTCAGGATCCCAGATTTGCCTCCCAAAAGAGCTGGCCCCAGGAGCTCCTGCCAGGCTGGTCCTCCCCCACCACCAACTGCCACCGCCCACATGGACAGAGAGCCCCAGAGCCCAACGGTCACTCTGGGCACCAACTGCCAGGCACAGGGTTACCATGGCAACAGAGGATGGCTGGGAGGGGGCGGGGCGCCACGAACCCAGCCTGCTCCCTACCCCTCCCAGACCAGCAGGGTGCCTCACTGTTTGTGCTTTGTTTGATGTTGGCTGGGGGTCAGAAAGAGGGGAGTGGCCATTGCCATGGAAACATGGGAGCCCCTCTGGCCAGGGGGACAGGCTGCGAAGAGCAGCCGAGAGGGGGTGAGTGAGAAAGCCCTCCTTCCCTGGTCAGCTGAGACAGGAGCCGAGATCCCACGATGGGGTCAGGCAGGTGGGGATGCAGGCCACGGGGACGGGCAGGATGTCCCCACGACACCTCCTCCCTGCAGCCCCCCAGACATCACAGTGCACCGCTGTACTTCTGCGGTGGGCGGGGGTCTCGGAGGATCAGAGAAGCTGGGCGGGGGCTGCACCTGAGATGTCCTGGGAGCCGGCCTGCCGCCACACGCCCCACTCTTCCCAGGCCACACGGAAGACACTTGAAGTGGGCTGGTGGAATGTCGCCCTGCCTCGGCTCCTTCCCCATCAACAGGACCCTCTCCCTTCTCCCGGGTGCTAGCATAGGGGACAACAGCGCCCCAGGATTCTGAATCACAGCTGCACGCTCTGGGGGCACTGCCATGTGGCTTTCTAGGAAGAAAAAGCACCTGCCTGATTCGCAAGTCCCTCAGCCCCAAGGGACCACAGGTTGGAAGGGGGTGTCGGGGGTTGGGCATGGGGCAGGTGGGTTCCCACAAGGCAGCTGCTGGGTGGGGGGGTTGGGGACAGAACTGGGCTGGGAAGTTGAGGGACTTGAGGCTAAGCTGCTATGTGACCCTGGGATTGTCAACTCCCCTCTCCGGGCCTCAGTTTCCCCCTCTGTCTAAAGTGGAGGGAGACAATGCCCAATGCCTGTCTAATGCTAAATCTTCAAGAGACCTGACCCCCAGCTTAGGAGGAGAGCCTCCCTCTGCCCCAGAGGGGCTTCAGTCTCTCTCTACCCTGGCCTTCTTGGTCCACACACCTGTTTCTAGCCCCAGACCCCCAGACCCCACACCCTCTCTTGGCTTCCTTCCTCCCCCTGCCGGCCCCCAGCCCTGCAACCCCCAGCAGAGTCCCTGGGCAGCACAGTAAAGACGACTGGTTTCGGTATCAGTTTGTAAACTTTAAGGAAGATGTGTCTTTGTTTTCCTGTCCGTTATTGTCAGATGTTGTTTTGTTCACAGTCGGGTGGTGGTCAGGTGTGTGTGTGCGTGCGTGCGTGCGGGTCTGCGTGTGCGTCCTCTCCTGCGCCTCAGCCCCCGAGTCAGCTTCCCCGCCCTGGCCGCCCGGACCCTTCCCCCAGAGGGCCCCCAGCGCTCTGGCTCCGACCTCACCAGGGAGCAGGGGGTCACAGCTTCTGCTGGGCTGAGACCCCCTTCCAGTAATCGAGGATGTCGTGCAGATCCTCATCCTTGGCGAACTGGACCTTCTTGCGCAGGGCGTGGCCAGCGGCCATGTACACCTCCTCCCGGTGGTGCTTCTTGTAGGGCCGGAAGCGCTCCCAGATCTTGTGCGTGCTCTCGGATGAGTACTCGGGGCTGGAGGAATACCCTGAGTAGTAGTGTCTGGGGGAGAGCTGTGAGTAGGTGGAGTCACGCTTGGAGCGGGTCAGCGGCTTGAGGAAGGACACGCGCTGGCTCAGGCTGTCGGCACCCTCCTCGTAGTAGAGGGCGGGGAAGCTGTGCCGGTGCTCGCTGCAGTGGTAGGCTGGCTTCACCTCCAGGTGGTGGATGCCCCCGCCCCCGCCGCTGCCCCCACCGCTGCCCGCCGGCACCAGTGGGAGCCGGTCCAATGGGCTGTTGAGAGGGCTGCCTTTCTCGATGTACTTGGAGTCGCCCTTGGCCAGCCCTGTGGCGGCCGGATGGTCAGGCACGTCCAGGCTAAAGACCTTGGCGCTCTTGATGGAACCGCTGGAAGACACGCTGCAGGTCTTGCGGGTCACAGCCGCGTCGGCGCTCAGCTGGCGCTGTAGCGGGTGGTGGGAGCTCTCCTTGTAGGGAGGCGAAAGGAAGCTGGGCCGCTCCAGCGGCCCGGGGGCAGTGGCTGAGGAGGCGGCAGCAGCTGCAGGGAGGGACTGGCACTCGAAGGCCAGCTCGGGATCCCCGCTGCCACTGCCGCCTCCCAGGAAAGAGGCCGAGTCCAGCTTGAGGGCGTCGATGCAGTTGTTGATGATCTGGTTGACCTTGTCCACCTCCTTGGCAATGGTGGAGATCTCCGCAGCGGAGCCCTGGCCGTTCTCGAGGTCCGGGAGGTCATCCTCCGGCCGAGCCAGGCCGTCCCCGCCGGCCCCTGTGCGCACCTCAATATAGTTGCCCTTGGTGGCCACCTTGGGCGTGTCCAGCCCGGCCTCCAAGCCCTTGGCGGTGGGCAGCTTCTCCCCAATCATGGAGGGGATGGAGGCCATGCGAGACACAGGCAGCACGGGGGGCTCGCCCAGCTTCTGGGCGGCGTGCACGATGGAGCCGGCATCCACATCGGCCCCGTACCGCATTTCCAGGATGGTTTTCTTGACGTTGACGGACTTCTGCTTCTCCTCCTGCATGCGTCGCTTGCGCAGGCAGTAGTACACGGCCCCCAGCACAATGACCATGCCGAAGAGGCAGCCCAGGATGGTCATGATGTAGTGGGTGGTGGTGGAGGTTTTGGGTGCCAAGTCGCCAGGGACAGGGTCCCGCGTGGTGAAGGTCAGGCAGGTGTGGTTGAAGCGGCGGCTGTTGCGCAGCGAGGTCACGCAGAAGGTGTACTCGGTGTGTGCCCGCAGCTTGTCCAGCGTCACGATCTCCTTCTTGTTCTTGAGGGTCATGACGTCGGAGAAGTAGCTGTTGTTGTACTGCACCAGGACGTACATCTTGCTGTAGGGGTGTGGGATGATGACCACCAGGGTGGCCGAGGTGAAGGTGACGTGGTGCAGCTTGATGGCGGGCCCCGCGGACGCATCCGTGGTGGACGAGGCCGGCGGCTCCACCGAGAGGATCTCGTCGGGGTTGAAGCCCGAGTTCTCGTCCGGCTCCCTCTGGGCGTCGGTGGAGTAGGGCGTGGGGTGGCTCACGGGCCGGGCAGGCAGCGAGCCGTTCCGGCACTTGGCCTGGAGCACGGTGATGGCGTTGAGGCTGTGGTAGGGCCGGGGCACCAGCAGCGGGTAGCCGGCAAATTCCCGCGGCGACTCACACTGCAGGCGGTCGTAGTTCTTGGTGACGTTGTTGAAGACGACCAGCCAGGCCAGGAAGCCGAAAAGGTCGCACTCACAGTTGAAGGGGTTGCCGGCCAGCTCACACACCATCAGGCTGGCGAGGCTGGCAAAGGTGGCGCCGTCCAGGCGGCTGAGGCGGTTGGAGGACAGGTCGATGCTGATGAGGCTGGGGCACTCGGAGAAGGCGGTGGGCGTCACCACCTCGATGAGGTTGTGTTGGACGAAGAGGAACTGCAGGCGGCTCATGCCCCGCAGCATGCCCTCCGTCAGGTTGCTGAGCTTGTTGTAGCCCAGCTGCAGGACCTGTAGGCTCGACTGGCCCAGGAAGGCCCCGTCCTCGATGTAGGAGATCTCGTTCTTGGTGAGGTTGAGGTCGGTGAGGTTCCCGAAGCGGTTGAGGGAGGAGTAGAGCACGGCTTTGAGCTTGTTCTCGTTGAGCCGCAGGTCGTGCACGGTGCTGTTGATGTGCTGTGGGATGGTCTCGTAGGGCGGCTGGTTCTGGCTGCAGATGGCCAGCCACACGTAGCCCTTGTCGCCCTCGATGAGCCAGCAGTCGGCGCGCACGGCGCTGGGCCGGCACACGCACAGCAGCGCCGCTGCGCACAACCCCAGGCGCAGCATGGCGCGGGCCTCGGAGTGAGGGGCAGGGCGAGGCATGGGGGGGTGGTGCCTAGTGGCCACAGCCTGAGGCTGGCAGTACAGTCCTCCCCGGGGCCGTCACCATCTTGGGGGCGACCCCCAGCACGGGGGCCCCAGGCAAGGTGGGTACAGCTAGTGCCAACTGCTGGGGGCCTTCTGGGGTGCTGCGGCAGGCACTAGGCCTGCTAAGGGTGGGGGCCCCACAGCCTGCTCCCCTCACAGCGTGGCTCCTTGTCTCCTGCTGAGAAGGTGCACAGGTTCTCAGGGATTGACCTCCTCTCACTCCTCCTCCTCCTCTTCCTCCTTGGCTTCTGGGCTCAGAACTTCAGACGATTCCCATAGGCGGCTGGAGAGCGCGCACTGAGCGGGGAGTGAGAGAGACGGGGGCAGGAAGGAAGAGACCCATCTGCACCTGGTTCCTGAAAGGCAGCATGGAGAGCGGTGACAGATCAGTGTGAGGGCTCGGAGCAGCCCCATCAAGCTCCAGCACAGGCTCCCCCCGCCCCCCGTCCCTTCTCCACACCCCATCCCAGGGCCTCTGTGCCAGCAAGCACTCGAGTCCCTGTTACATCCAAGAATTGGTGGGTGGCAAGAGGCAGGAGGGGGCCCAGGGGCTGGGATGGAGAGAGACAGAAGAATGGGGGGGGTAGGGGCAGAGTCTGAGGACTGTGGGCACAGAAGGGACACTGGAGAGCAACAGGTGGGCACAGGTGCGGGCACACCCCTCCTCAGCACACCGGAGGCCACACTTATCCCCCCCACCTGCACAGAGACCCACATGCCCCCACCTGAGCCGGACCTCCACAGCATGCACACGTACACAGCTACACACACACACAAGCACACCTACGATCTGCACACGACAAGCAGGCCCCTACGCACATGTGTCCACCGACCCAAGCAGGCACCCCTGGACCCAGATAAAGAATTAAGAAGCTCAGCAACATGCCTTCTTTCCTCCATGCCCAAAAGATAAATAATTCATTTGTTGTGTAACTGCTCTTGTTCCAAAAATAATTCCCTTGTCTCAGCTTCCATGGGGGAGGGGGAGCAGAACGTCGCAGCTGTGAGGCCCCCCAAGCAGGGTATGCAGAAGCCGGGGTCTCCCGCTGTGGGAGAGTGTGGGGAGAGCTCATCCCACAGGCAGAGCAGTGCCAAGGGAAAGAAAGGCAAGCCTCGGGGAGGCCAGAGATACCCCCGACCATCTCCCCAGAGTGCCTCCCCTGAGGCACCTTGATCCTTGGGAGAGGGCCAGCCCTCTGGAATAGCATGACTGAGGCCCGGCTCCCCTTCCATGGCTGGAGAGTCAGAGGCCCAGAGAGGGACAGGGAGTTGCCCCAAGTAACACAGCACAGCCTGGACCAGGATCAAGGCTCCCGAGGTGCTGAGCCCAAGCCAGGAGTCGGGAGGCCTGGCACCCCATCTATCTACCCAGCCCAATTAGCTACGCAAACCACAACATCTGAGTCTATTTCCACATCTAACAAAGTGGGTCCCTTTCCGGCCCATCTGATGGGAGAGAAGAAGCTGAGGATTCATGCTGCCCATTTCCAAGATGCAGAAGGGCAGGGACGGCGGCCCAGAGGTCACAGCAGTAGGACATCAGGATCAACCCTCACTTTCCAAGTGGGGAACCTGAGTCCCAGACCCAGGAAAGACTTGGCCAGGTTGCCCAGCATGGTGGACACAGCTCTTTAGACAGACCCCCGCACCAGCTCCCACCCTGTCCTCTCAACTATGGAAACAGCCCAGTTCTCCCTCCCTCTGCCCTGGGCAGGGGCCAGGGACGTGAAGATTAGGTCTCAGAAATCCAGAAATTTGGACACAAAAAGCCGGGGACTGTTCACAGGAGCCACCTCTGCCTCCCTCTCCTCCTCCTCCTGGGAAAGTCTAGGAAAGGGTGCTTTAAAACAATGTCTAAGTCTTTGCTATTAAAGCAAAAGCAATTTACAGCACTGAGCCCCAGAGGGCAGGAACAGAGAAAAGGGGAATGGGCGTGGGGTGGGGGTTAATCCCACAAGAAGTCCCAGACAGGCCATTTTTGGTTGGGATGGTGAAAGGTGAACAGGGAGTCCACAGGGCCTGCTAGACTAAAGGCTGATGCTACATCAGGGGCTGTGATGATCGGGACCTCTGAGGCCAGGCTCACACCTCCCCAGTCGCTGCAGGACCAGGCTGGGGGTGCCACAAGGTAGCCAGGCAGGAAGGGGTGCCCAGGCAGCAGACAGCAGCTCTGTCCTTGGCTGTACTATGCAAAGGTCTCAGGGCTGGAGAGCCCTTGGCTCCCATCCAGCATGGCCACTGGCTCCTGGGGGACCCCAGGCCAGTTCTGCCCCTCTCTAAGCCTCAGTTTCCCCTCCCACAGGTAGCAAGGTTGTACTGGAGGAGGCTGAGTCTCCACGCTTCCCACTTCAGAGATCCTTGAGCCAGCCTGTCAGAGAACCCTCGTCTGCTCCAATGTAGTCCCTCCTCCTCATCGGGGAATGTCTGGGGACCGCATTTGTATGCAGGTGCACATGCAGGTGGCTCAGAGTGCCGACGCAGGGGTGTGCTGACGTGTACAAGCCGACGACGTGCAGGCAGCCGCATGTGCACACATTATTCGTGCATGTGCATCAGCTTTGGGGCATGTGCTTGTGTGGGGGGGGTGGGAAGGCATATGTGTCAGGCGCATCTCAGGGAGGGCAGGCATCCATCTGTGTTACAGTTGGCATGTTTAAGTACATGTGTGTTCTGTGTGTTCTACATGTGTATGTGTGTGCATCTGAGTTGCTCAAACCAGCATCCTCACAGCCAGGCCCAGGGTACTGGGCAAAGCCAGGCTGGCTGGAGCCTCGGGAAAGCCAGGCCCTGCCAAAGGCTGTGAAGAAGCTGAGCGTGGAGGGGCATGGGAGAAGAGGCCCACGAGGGAGGGGAGCCAGTCCTGCCCGAGCTCTTCCCAAACAGTCCAGGATGAGCAGAGGCCCTCGGTGCCCCAACCCCAGGCACTCCAAGCTCTGCCCACCTAAGCCTCAAGGTGACCTGCCCATCGTCTCTCCTCTTCCTCCTGCTCTCCAGGATGACTTGGGCTGGGCCCAGCTCCCACCTGCCTCCGTGACTCAGACGGAGTTGGGAGTAGGCTTCCATCACCCTGTCCCAGGTGCATCAGCTGCCCGGTCCCCATCCCGGGCTGCCTGCCTGCCACCCATGGAGACCTGACGCAGCCAGGGAGGGAACAGAGAAGCTGAGGCCAAGAAGCCGCTGACAGCAGCACTTGGCCCCTGGCCCAGCTGCTTACACACTCAAGGTGTGGGCGTCAGGGGCACTAGCCTGTCCTCTCAGGTCCAAGGCTGAGAGTCCAGTGGTCAAATGGGCAAGGTCGTGCCCTTCCCCTCCTCCCATGAGGGTGAGCCTCCCACACACAGTGCAGGGGGACAGGACAGCTCCCCACATACCCAGGTGGCGAGAGATGGGAAGAAGGGGGGCTGCAGGGAGGAGGTGAGGACGGAGAATAGTGGCAAAGCAAAAATATCCAGGCAGCCAGGCAGAGGCAGACAGAGGGAGAGAGAAAAGGAGGAAGTGCATCTGAGACAGAGGCACCGACGGCAGTGAGCTATCTCGATGATAGATGGAGGCAGCTCAGAGGACAGGGCACCTGCTCCCCCCCAGCCCAGAGGCCAGGGAGACAGATGACACCTGGTCTGGCTGAACCACCAAAATGCATCCTGTGACCAGCCAGAGGGAGCAGGGAGCAGATGTGGGAAGCAGAGACCTTTTCTGCCCAGGGCCTTGGTGGCACAGCCCAGGAGGGGTATGGCCATGCAGGCAAGCAGGTATAGGGGTGGCATGTTCTAGCAAAGAGCAGTGCTCCCATGCCCTGGCCTGACTGGACCCCTCCCCTAGAGCATCTTCCCCTTCAGGCTCCAAGTGCCCCAGTGGTGCAATCTTGGCTCACTGAAACCTCTGCCTCCCGGTTTCAAGTGATTCTCCTGCCTCAGCCTCCGGAGTAGCTGGAATTACAGATGCCTGCCACCACACCTGGCTAATTTTTGTCTTTTTAGTAGAGACAGGATTTCACCATGTTGGCCAGGCTGGTCTCGAACTCCTGACCTCATGATCCGCCCACCTCGGCCTCCCAAAGTGTTGGGATTACAGGTGTGAGCCACTGTGCCCAGCCAAGCAGCTCTCTTTAAGGGGTGCTCTCTCCTTCCACCAAGAACAAATGGCTGCACAGCCAGGGTGCATGAGGTTATTGGGGGCTCTGGGTCTGCAGATGCATGCTGTATGATGACCCCTCTCATGGGGACATTCGTGGGCAGAGAGGAGAGTCAGTGAGACCCCGCAGCACTCGCTGCTCTTGGGGCAGAGCTGGTGGTGCGGGGGTCTCAGTTCAGAACTAGGCAGGACCGCAGACCCCAGTCATTCAAAGCAAATGCCTCCCCTTTCTGGGCCTCAGGCATCATCAGCTACCCAGCGATCCCGCTGGTGTGTGCCCTTCCTGCCCAGGTACCCCAAGATCCTGGGCCCCTCTGGGAGACAAGTCAGAACTGGGAAGACAAGGAGTCCTGGCTCAGCCCCACCCCTGCCCCTCTTGGAGGGCAAGCCGAGCACAGTGCCTGACCTCTGTGAACAGCAGCTGCTGTTAATGTGGGTTCCCTCATCATCCAAGATCAGGGTTCCTCTGGACTCAGGCTCACTGAAGCTCGGGGTTACATCCTCTCGGCCCCCCACTGCAGGCTGACTCCCAAGCCTCCCTGTCAGAGGACAGTCTGGACCCCCGCCCCAGGGAGAGCCCCCCCGCACTGTGGCGTGTGGGAGGGGCTGAGGGGGTCAGGCCACCTCCCCAGGGTGGGTGAGAGGGTGGACGGAGTGAGGCCAGCCAGGGATGCAGGCAGCGGAGGTCAGCGGGGAAGATGCAGACCTGACCGGCTCTGAGACCCTGGGTGAGTCGCAGGCCCTCTCCAAGCCTCAGTTTCCCCCTGCGTGGCAAGGTGAGTACCATCCAGCTCCCAAGGTTCCCCCGAAACTCCAGGACATGACAGAGACACACACGCTCAGTCCAGGGGAGGAGGCCTCGCAAACACACCATGCCGGGTTCCCACTCATGTGGCCACACTCTTCTTCCAGGGACACCCATCAGCTCCAGGAGCAGACAGGGGAAGCGTGGTCTGTGTCCTGGCCTCCCAGGAGAGGGATGTGAGGCTCAGCCGGGGAAATCTCATTTACAGCAGCTCGTAAGCCCTGGCACAGGCTCTTCCCTGGGCCAGGCTGGCCAAGGCTCCCCAAGGTGTCATTGTCACCGTCTGTGTCAATGCCATTACCCAGGATTAGGAGGACCGAGGACTCCTGGCAGATCTCTCAGGCAGGCAGCCACCTCGCCCCTCGCTGCTGGAAGCCCAGCACCAGGCCGGGAACTCTGCCCTCAGGGACAAAGCCTGCCACCCCCTGGGGAAGAGACTCAAGCCGGGGGTCTGAACACGTGTTGTCACTGCCTCCACCTCATGGAGCTCCCTGGGCCTCAGTTCCTCGTCTGTAAAATGGGATGATTACATCCTCGACAAGGAACACCGTTTGGTAAGTTAACTGCATTTCCAGTGCAATGAATGAACCCGTGCTGCAGGCTGTGGACAGTGTGGGGAAGGGACCTGGGATTGAATGCTGAGCTGTGTGACATCAGGCACATTACCTAACTCCTCTGGGCTTCGGTCTCCTGGCCTCTAAGAGAGTCATATACCCCTTATCCAATGGTTCCTTTGTATGTTCCTGGAATCTTACATCAACCCCACATGGCTGGCGCCGTTAGACCACACAGCCAAGACCCCAGGCCAGCCTGATCTGCTGGAACCGGCAGACTTTCCAAGATTCCTCCCTGGAAGGCAATGTCCTGTCACCTGCAGACCTCCAGTGACAGGGCTCTCAGCGCCCACCTGAAGCTACTGATTCTCTTCTTTCTTTTTTCTTTCTTTTTTTTTTTTTTTTTTTTGAGACAGTCTAGCTAGCCCTGTCACCCAGGCTGGAGTGCAGTGGTGCTCACTGCAACCCCTGCCTCCTAGCCGCAAGCAATTCTCGTGTCTCAGCCTCCCGAGTAGCTGGGACCACAGGCGCCTGCCACCGTGCCCAGCTAATTTTTTGCACTTTTGGTAGAGATGGGGTTTCACCACGTTGCCCAGGCTGGTCTTGAACTCCTGACCTCAAGCGATCCACTCACCTACACCTACCAAAGTGCTGGGATCATAGGCACGAGCCACCGTGCCCAGCCCAGATTCCCTTCCTGAACAGCTCTGATTGCTAGAAATTTCTTCTTCTATTACAAAGCCAAGTCTGGATCCTTGTGCTTCTGTTCATGGGTGCCAGCTCACTCTCTGGAGCCACTAGGGACGAGGCCAGTACCCCATAAAGGCTCTTCCGACATCTACCGGTCTATCATCGCTCCGTTTATCCAGGCTGAACAGCACCGCGTCCTCTACCTCTTCTTCCTGTGCTGTGGTGTCAACTCCCTCCTGCCCTTGGGTCCAGCTGCCCAAGTCATGCTTGCTGTCAAGGTCCCTCTCACAACGCGTCGCCTGGAGCCAAGCGTCAGTGCTGATGCATTCGGAGCAGGATCAGCTCCAGAGGCCCCCACCTCCCTCATCTGGGCTCCCTGCTTCTGTTCACGCAGTGGGAGTCAGGAGGTACCAGCGCCGCGTCTTCACCTTGTCCTAGATGTCAACAAACCCCCAGGCCCCCTTGGCACACATGGCCAGGCAGCCCTGGTGCCCTCACAAGGTCTTCAGGCAGCTCTGGGCAGTATCTGCTTAGGTCTCCCTGCCCAAGGTGCTGGGTGTTCATCCACCCCATTCAATCATGTCTCGTTAGCCTCAGCCCTGCCACCAGCTGCTCCAGGTCCCAGGGGAGCTGGCTCCTGCCCCTCACTTGGCACCTGCTCCAGGCTCTGTGTCATCCTGCACTGAGTGAGCAGGCCATGGCTGCGTCTGTGTCACAGAGAAACAGGGACCAGGCCCGGGCTAGGGGCCCGGCCTGGGTGAGGCATGATGCCCAAGCAGCCGCACACCCGCCCACATTTCATTCTTTTTTTTTTTTTTTTTGGGCGGGTTTCCCAGTGCTGGATGGCAATGGCCGTGATGTTGGCTCAGCACAACCTCCTCCTCCCAGGTGCAAGCGATTCTCCTGCCTCAGCCTCCCTAGTAGCTGCAATTACAGGTGTGCGCCACTGTGCCTGGCTAATTTTTTTTTTTAATATTTTTTTTGAGACAGAGTCTCACTCTTGTTGCCCAGGCTGGAGTGCAATGGCTGTGATCTCGGGTCACCACAACCTCCTCCTCCCAGGTTCAAGCAATTCTCCTGCCTCAGCTTCCCGAGTAGCTGGGATTACAGGCATGCGCCACCATGCCTGGCTAATTTTTTGAATTTTTAGTAGAGACAGGGTTTTACCATGTTAGGCTGGTCTCAAACTCCCAACCTCAGGTGATCCGCCTGCCTCCACCTCCCAAAGTGCTGGGATTACAGGTGTGAGCCACGGCACCTGGCCCCACCCACATTTCTTACATGTTCCACATGTATTCCCTGCATACCTACTATGTATCTGGCCCTGGGGCAGACAGACTTGCCTCCCCTTCACTAGGTTGCCTTCTTGCTCAAAAGAACTTAACGAGAATGACACAGCACCAGCAGCTGACAGTCAAGGAGTCAGGGGCTCTTGCAAGGCTGAGGTGCTTTGGACACGCCTCTCCAGGGGTAACCTCAGCCAAAGAAGGGGCTTGGGGCTGGGCCGCTGGGCTGCAGCGTGACCTGAGGCAAGTTGGCACCTCACCTCCCTGGGCCTCAGTTTCCTCATCTGTTTGGAGGAAAACCACAGTACATATGTGTCTCTGGTTTGCTGGGGCCACCCCAAAGCCCTGTCACCTGCCCACCATGTCACCCCCCATGGCTCACCTGGTCCCCGTGCCTCCCCTGCTCACAGGCGCCATAGTCATCTTTAGTACCTACTCTGTCAAGGCCTTGGTGGAAGGAGAGAGGCAGGGGGTGGAGGGTTTTACCAAAGCTCTTGGCCTTGGCAAACCACCCCGTGGCCTGACAGGAGAGACTTGAGCCTCACGGCCTGTGAACAGGGAGGGCCCACTCCCTGGCAACCCCCCAACCCCCATAGCCCACCCACCACCAGGCACCTGGGGACAGGATTGTCCCACAGTCAAGGATGACCTGTATTAAAAACCCACCTCCTGGCACCACCTCAGGGATCCTTCCTGCCTTCCCCAGAATCCTCCAGGCCACTCAGGAGACTCTTCCCTCACCCCCTCTCTCCCCAGCCTGACCTTTACCTCTCCTCCCCTGGATCCCAGCTCTCCCATGGACTCTGCCTCCCACACCTGATCCCACCTCCCCAACTGACCCCTGGCCTCACCCCATTTGACCCCACCTCCCCCACCGACCTGTAGCCATTCCCCACTGGTCCTTGCCTCCCACACCTGACCCCTATCCTCTCCCCACCTGACCCTGCTTCCCACTCCCGACCCCTGGCCTCTCCCCATCTGACCCCTGCCCTGTCCCAACCTGACCTTCACCTCCCCCACCCCGGGCCCCTCCTGGTCCCCTCAGCTGCAGCCCCTGGGCACTACTCACCAGTCTCCACTGGACCCGCTCTTTCACCAGTGCCTGCGCAGCACGGCTGCCTCTGCCTGCACGGCCTCCATTCATTCATTCAATAAACATTTATGGAGCACCTACTATGTACCAGGCACCGGCTAGGCCCGCCCTCCCAGCTCTGCCTCCTCCGCCTGCTCCTCCTCCAGGGTCCCAAGGGGCAAATGCTTCCCTGCCCTCCAGCATCCTCAGGGCTGTCCCAAGACAGGGGCAGGGCATGTGGGGGCCCCCAGGGGGAAGTGGAGGCTCCAGTGGCAGAGAGCGAAGCCCCCTGAGAGGTGGCTCGGGGAGGGATGGGCAGCCTCCGACAAGGTGAAGAGTCTTCAGTGCTTGCACCGGCTGGGCCTCCGCACTTCCCACGTTAACTCATTTAATCCTGAGTCAACTTTAAACATCTTAAAAGCACTATCACTATTCCCACTTTGCAGATGAGGAAACTGATGTCTCACAGCTGCTGTGCAGTGGCTTCCACCCTCCACGCCCCCGGGCTCTGTTCGAGAGACGCAGTGGGATCCTGTCTCAGCTGGGTGGTGGTTTTCACATTTTTTAAATCAGTTGCCAATATTGAAAACTTGGCAGATTTTGTTTCAAAAATCCCCGTTTCTGGAATCCACTGAGAAACGGGGAAGATCTGGCTTCCCGGGTCCGCATCCCTGGAGGGACGGCAGTGGCACCGAAGGGCTGCGTCCAGGCTCCTTCCTGCCTCTCTGGCTTGGGTGGCCAGCTGACCCCTGCACACTGGAGTTTATGAGGCCAGCCACAAGGGGGAAGCCCCGAATGGAGACAAGCAGAGCCCCAGCCTGTCGGGGTAATCCTATGAGCCTCTCAGCCAGGGACCCAGGGTTGCCCCAGTCCCTGCCTCCTGCACTCTGCCCTGACTGACCTGGAACCCCATCCCCTGTCCTCCTGACCCATGGCTTTTGGATTTTAGCACCAGGACACCAACAGTGTGGATCTGTCATTCGGGGAGTCTGGGTTGAGGGTTCTAGGGTGTATCTGTCACTTGCTTGGTCCTAAAAGTCTCCTGTGTCTTGGCCTCCATGAGTCACCAGCTCTATAGGTTGGTGACTCTCTGACAGCTTCCCCTTGGCTCCAAGCAGCTCAACTGGGGAGAAGTCCCCCTCCCCAAGCCAAGGGGGCCCCCACACGACCACCCTAGGCCTACCTGTCGCCCTTTGGGGCCCACTGCTCCCCTGCCAACAACGCTGTCTGGGCCAAGTTTGGGGGTCCTTCTGGGGTTTGAGGGGTACCCTCTCCCAGACACTATTCCCACCCCCCACAGAACGCCACCAGCTGGCCTAGCCTAGGTGCTGTCTCTAGGCTGTGAACACCAGGACCCCTGAGTTCCTGAAGCCACACTGAAGCTCAAGGGGACCTGGGGGTTCTGGAATGACTTCTGGGCCCCACTCTTCTCCCCACAGACTTAGGGTCCCTCACTCTGCTCACCTGGGCCTGCCTTCCCCAGCCCCCTGTCTCTACCAGGCCTCAGCACCCAGGGTCCTGGAGCCCTCCAGGCCCTCCAGCCCCAAGCTGAGAAACCCCATTCACCTTCTGTCACCTCCCAACCTCTAACCAGACAGTGGCAAGCGGTCAGTATAGACACCATCTGGGACAGTCCAAATTCCCTCCCCCCGCCCTGAGCGCCACTTTCTCTGGAGCAGGTGGGAGAGCCCAGCCCAGACTGACAGCCGCCTCCGAGGCTACGGGGGGCCTGCAGCTGCAGCATCAGAGAACAAGGAGGCTCTGTCCGCAGAGGGGTCGCCACGGAGCCCCGGAAACTCCCGGGGGAGGGCCACCCCAGGACTACCGGCTGGGCAGAAACCACAGGCCGAACGTGAGGCTATCTTATGTGACAGCTCCTGTGTCTGCCAACTCCACGTGGCCAGTCCACCAAGACCGGCCCTCCCTAGCATGCTCCCGAAGTGCAGGGTCCATGTTCAGCTCGAATCAGGCTACGCCACCTCACCCCCGGTCCTGGCAAGCTAGTCCTCCCTGGGTCTCAGTTTCCTCTTCTGTAAAGTGTGACAAGAAGGGCACCAGCTCAGCGTGCTGCAGAGGGGACGGCCACAGGCCAGGGTCTGGGCAGGGTCTGGGCAGTCACTACACAAGGAAGCTGCCTCCTGTGGGAGGCTGGTGCATGGCACGTGGCACAGGCCTGCACCGCAACAATGACAGTGAGGAGGGACAGGGCCTGACCTGGCAGTCTTCCTTTCAGTACTGAGGGTAATGCACCTCTCCTCGCCTCTGTCCCTGTCCCCTCTCTGAAGTCCAGGCCCCCCAGCGGCCTGCTCCCACCCCCACCTTCAGCCTGTTCCCCGGCCTCGGTTTCCTCTCCCACTGCCAAAGCACAATGGCTGTTATAATTAACGAATTATCTCAGTGTGACAGCTGTGGTCCTTTGAAAATTAGCTTGAATAACAAGATCCTGGTGTATGGTAATTTCTCTTCCTCTCTTTCTCCCCCTTTCTCTCTCTCTCACTTCAGCCTTGTCATGCATGCAAATGTTTTTCCCTTGTCCTCCTTCCCCGAAAACTTCCCCCTCTGCAGCCTCCTCCTCCCTAGGAGGGCAAGGGACAGAAACTCAGCTTCTGCCTTCGGGTGAAAAGATTCAGGAGCTGACCCTCCGGGGCACCTCCTCTGCAACGGTGCAGGGCACAGAGCCTGACACGCCGCCTTCTGAAATCTCTCCGCAGACCTAAGCCCCGCCACCTCCTTCCCGGGCTGGGGACCTGCAGCTCTGCTTTCCCGAGACCTCCTAGGCTGTGTCCCCTCGGGCTCCTCTGCTTGTACGCCAAGCAGTGGCCTCCCCTGATGTCCTGGTCCCTGCTCACTGCCCTTCTCAAACCTGCTTCCCCCTCCCCCACCCCAAGAGCCCATCAGCGCCCCCCTCCCACCAAGGTTTCTAATGTCAGCTCTGGGCTGACTATACCCAAACCACCATACCCAGCAGCCTTCCGGGGGGGCCCTTCCCTGGCACCTGAAACTCACTCATCCATGTCCACCTCCACGATTGGGCTAATCTCCCACGGCCCCTTCCCCCTCCTCCCCCACTTCTCTTGTAGTTCCCAGACCCGGTTAGAGGCAGCCACACCTGCCCGGCTGCCCCCACTGCCACCTTGGTGCTGGCCCTCTGCCCCACTGCTCCTGCTGCCTCTCTACCTCCAACCCTACCTCCCCACTCCAAACCCAGCAGAGGATGAGCTTTCTAGAACGTCAACCTGGGCATAGCACTCCCCTGCTGGAAAGCCTTCGTTGGCTGCGGCTGATCTGGGAAAATTCCAACAGCATCCAGAACGCGGCCCACGTGGTCCTGCGGGAGCCGCTGCCCATCCTGCTCTCCGACCCACCTGGCTGGCGCCTCTCCTATGGGTCCCCACAGCTCCCTGCACTTCCTCCATCACAACCGGAATCATAACTGCTGCTGCTACCTCTGGACTGAGTTCCCGAGGAAGGGCCCTGCTTCTCCCAGCAGGTGCTCAATAAATATTTGCTCATGGCTGAGTGAAGGAGGCCAGCTCGCCGCCCTCTTATAGATAAGGAAATCGAAGCCCCGAGTAATTCATGACTTGCTCAGATCACACAGTTCATGCAAAGACAAAACCAGGATTTGAACCAGGTCTGCGACTCCAGGGCTGGGCTTCTCTGCTACCTGGGGAGGTCGGGGGCAGGGGGGGCGGGGCTCAGGTTTTGCACAGATCTCAAGGGACTTGAGCCTCCCTCCAGCCTCAGTTGGACAATGAAGAGACCACCTTCCAGCCTAGGCTGTCACTCCCTTGAGTTTGACCTTGGACTAGCCACATGACTCTCAGGGCCTCAGTCTACGCATCTGTAAAGTGGGAAGGAGTCCCGCCTCACGCTATCCCAGAGGGTGGCTGCTGGGGCAGAAACTCAGGTCTTGGAGAAAGCCAGTCCTGCCAACATCTGGGATTTTCCTACCTCCGCCCTCCAAACCCACCTGTATTGCCCTCGGTGGGCACTCCCCAGGGCTTTGTTGGGGGGGATCCCCAGGATGGGAGAGCTCGCAGAGAACAGGAACCCTCTCAGTGGGAGGTAATGGGAGAAGCATGGGGGCCTTGGGATTCAGATCATGGCCATGGGCAAGAAGCTTCCTGTCAGAGCTCCGCATCCTCCTCTGTGAATTGGGGCCCGGTGAGGACTAATGTACACAGTGCCTGGCACAGTGCAGGTGCTACCGAGGCCACATGGCTGCAAGGTTCTACAGGAAGTGATCCTGAAGTGTGTCCCAGAGAGGGAGGGAGAAGGAGGTGGTACCGAGCAGGACCAGCTGTTCCTGGCTATGCCTCAACAGCCCGCAATGGCTCCCACCCCGACCTGTGGCCCTAGAACCCCTCTGTCCCTCTCTAAGCTCACTCCCACCCCAACGTGTCCCCTCAAAACCCTATGGAACTGGGGACATGCCTACAGCCACGTGCACCAGACCTTCACTCACGCTGGTCCTAACCCTGGGAGCCATGCTCACCTGTCCCCATCCCCTGAGTCCAGACCTTATGCCACCTCCTCTGAGAAGCCTTTGGAGACCTCCCTTCTTCAGGGTGACCCCTCTGCTCTGCCCCCACAACCCCGAGGTATCGCTCTTGGAATACTGCATGGGTCCTAGAGATCGTCTCCCCCATTTTGCACATGGGGAGACTGAGGTGCAGACGAGGAATGGCAGCTGTCCGTGATGCACTCGAACCCAGGGCTCTGCTGCATCCAGCCCACCAAGCGGCTTCTCTCCTGGTGCTGAGCTGTTCAGCCTTTGCCTGTCCTCTCCACGCCCCCCAGCCTGGAGCTATCTGAGGACAGGACCCCATCTTCCTCTCTGCGCCCCTCCCCCAGTGCCCAGCCTAAGGCCTGGCGCATAGTAGGCACTCAGTAAATGTCTGTTGAATTGAATTGCGCTCAGGGCAGCCAGTCGTCTCTGCTCTGTAAGAAAAGCATAGAGTTAGTGGAGCTCTCCCCATGGCGACCAGGGGGCGGGAACCAAGCTGGTGGGGTGAGGAGTCTGCCCTGCCCCAAGGAGCCCACGGGCCCTGGGGAGGGGCCTGGGAAGCTGGACCATTCAGACTTAGATGAGTCCGAATTCTGCCCCAACAGGCAGCATGGCTCTGGTACGTCACGCTGTGGCAGGGCCTCACTGGCCTCATCTGTCAAATGGAGATGACACCCCGGTCCCTCCAGGCTCTGAGGGCTGCTTGTGATGAGGCCCAGAGAGACGTGAGGAGTGTACACAGTGACCCCCAGCTCACAAGCATGGAGTGCCCAGCACCTGGCACAGGAGAGTCACGTGGGAATGATGCCCATTCTGCAGAGGAGGAGACTGAGGCTTGGAGCGGGGCCTGGCTTGCCCAAGGCCATGGAGCCCATGCATTCATCTCATGCTGTACACACGGCCTCCCTGCCAAGCCAGAGGGAAGCAAGGCGTGATAACGAACCCCAGACGAAGAAGCTGAACCCACCAAAGGGTGGCCCCAGCCTCGCCCGGGCTGGCAAAGATCCTGCAGGCAAAGGGCCCAGTGTGAGCCCCAGGGCTGTGAAGGGAAGGGTGAGGAGCCGCATTTGCCCCTCCCCATGGGGGTGAGTTCTGATTCTACAGTCCCCCAGAGGGTTCAAAAGCATCCTCAGATCCGGAGGCTGCAAAGGGCTGGGCAGGCCTGGGTGTTAATATAGAACAGGAGGGGACTATAAATACACAATCAGGCTAGACACCGCAGGGCCACCCACCTGGCACAGCCAAGACAGAGGCTCTAACCCCGGCCCTGCCCCTCCCACCACCCCTCTCCCTTCTGGGCCTCGGTTTCCTTGCTTGTCAGCAGCAGGCTGCACCATGACCATGACTCCTAAGGCGCTTCGCCCAGCAACTCACAGTTCTCTGACCCCGGCCAGGCTGGCCCAGGGCGCTGGGGAGGAGAGAAGGTTGTTCAACAGGATCACCCCGGATCCCGGAGACAGTCAAGTGGGGGCCTGCCTATGCCCCGCTCACTGCCTGGAACTGAGAAGAGGCAGAGATGGGGCCTAGAAACCAGCCATTCGTTCGTTCATTCCCTCTGCATTCAAACAGCCATTCTGTGAGCATCGCCTCCTGCGAGCGGAGGACTCACAGCCAAAGCCTGGGCTTCCAGCTGGGGCTCTGGTGGGGAAGACAGGGAGATGAACGGGCGTCTCTTTCCCTCTCCACCCTCTGGCTCCCCATCCCCATCCCAGCTCGCATGACAGGGACACTGGTTTTACGTCTACCTTCTGCCTGGACCACGGCCTCATAGAGGATAGGTACCAGGTGGTGGACAGTCTCACTCACCCTGTGAGCCCAGGCCCAGCACCACGCGAGGCAGGCTCTCTGTGTATGCCCACAGCTGAAAACCATCACCCTGGGAACATAAGAGAGCCACCTTGTACAGGGCCATCACACGGCTCTGGGGACAGGAGCACACCCATCCAGCACCCGCTGTGTGCCAGGCCCTGCACACTTCACACATGGCAGCCACACTGTCGTGCCTACGTGAAGGATGGGGAAACTGAGGCTGAGAGACAAGAGACGTGCTGAGAGCCCACAGCTAAAGTAGCCCCGCAGCACGATTCCCCAAATGTAAGTCCAGCTGATGCAGCAGGCTGACCATCAAAGAGACGGTGTCTGGGACTCCCCAAAGGCCAGGCATAGGTGAGGGGACAGTGTCCCACTTCCTCATTAGAGCCTCAAAGCAACCCTGAGTGGCAGACACATCCTCACATGACAGGGAGAGAAACTGAGGCTCTGAGCGATGAACCTGGCCCCTAGCCCCAGGCCTGGCAAATATTGGAAAGGCCCTTCTCAGGCAGTGCGGGCAGACCTGGGCCCAGGACCAACTCTGGCCCTCACTTGGCCCAGTGACACGGACAGGGACCAGCCCTCTCGGAGACTCGGTTTCCCCAAGACCCATCTCCTCTGCCCCACGCAGCTGCTTCAAGAAGGAGGAAAAAGGACACCCGCTGAGCAACTCCCCTTTATAAACTGAAAAGTGCCGTTTATCTGTGTTCTTCCTCCTTGTTGTCAGTGCAATAGAAGCACCGCCCATCTTCAGGGAATTTAACTGCTCTGTGACCAGGCTGGAATGCAATGGCGCAATCTCAGCTCACTGCAACCTCCACCTCCCGGGTTCAAGCGATTCTCCTGCCTTAGCCTCCCGAGTAGCTGGGATTACAGGCGTCCGCCACCACATCCGGCTAACTTTTGTATTTTCACTAGAGACGGGGTTTCACCATGTTGGCCAGGATGGTCTGGAACTCCTGACCTCGTGATCCACCGCCCCAGCCTCCCAAAGTGCTGGGATGACAGGCGTGAGCCACCGTGCCCGGCCGTGAACTGCTAGTTACACTCTCCTTGGCCCTCCTCAACCACTTCTCCACCCTCTTCTCTAAAGAGGCTGTACCAGTGTCCGTCAGAGGCTCCCAACGAGCCCGCCCTTGTTAAGGGATTCTCTCCCATTTCATCCTCAGGATCCTAGAGACCAGGTATTATTTTCACACCGTTCTGCAGGTGAGGGAAGTAAGGCTCACAGAGGTTAAGTGATGTCCCCACGATCACATTGCAAGAAGTGAACGTGCTCCCCACGCCCGTTTACATTTGTCCCCTCAAATATGCATATTCTAGTCTCGGCTGCTAGAGCCCTCTGGTTGGTTGATGCCCATCTGGCTCTCCGGTTTATCCGACTTCCCAGATGTATGTAATATTCATATTTCCATCAGCAGCAGCTCACGTACCCCTTTCTAAGGCCTTCGGGAGCCCCATTAATCAGTCAGACACACCTGCATATTCATTAACTTCTGAATTAATACAGGGTCCCTTATTACTTCAGGCCTGCATTAAAGACGCTTCAACTTCATTCATTATTAAACTCCCCTGATAAACGATCACCTCCCTCTTTCACAGAGGGGGACAGCACCCAGGCCCCGGAGCTGGTAGGCCTGCTCCCAGCGACAGCTGCTGTGTGACCCTGAGCCAGGCCCTTACCCTCTCTAAACCTCCTGCATGTTTACCTGGTAAAATCAGGCAAAGGATGGTCTCCGACCACCACGCAGCCTCATCAAGGTGGCCCGTCTCATCCTTTGTCCTTTCTCTGCATGTCCTTCTTGGACTCACATAATCCGCCCCCCCAGAACGGAAGCTGATCCTCTCTGGAGTTGTCCCTGTGCTCCCCCATCAGTAGCTTCCACCCACACCTGGGCCTGGGCCTGGACTTTGCAGTCAGCGGACCTCAGGTCCCGGCACTGACTCATCATCTTGAGGGCAGCATCTCTGGGCTGACTGGGCTCTGGCTTGGCAGACCGTGACACATCCCAAATCAGAGAGGCCAACCGACACCCCCCACCAGTTACTGGATTCCAGCTGCCACACAGCAGTAATAATAACAGCACCCAGGCCGGGCGCGGTGGCTCACACCTGTAACCCCAGCACCACAAGGTCAGGAGATCAAGACCATCCTAGTCAACACTCGTCTCTACTAAAAAACAAAAAACTATAAAAAGTTAGCTGGGTGTGGTGGCATGCGCCTGTAGTCCCAGCTACTAGGGAGGCTGGGGCAGGAGAATCGCTTGAAGCCAGGAAGCGGAGGTTGCAGTGAGCCGAGGCCACAGCATTGTACTCCAGCCTGGCAACAGAGCAAGACTCTGTCTCAAAAAATAAAATAAAGTGATTAAAAATAAAAATAATAGCAGCCAGCAGGTCCTGGGCGCAGACTATGCCCCAGGCCTTTGCTAAGTTCTGTATGGTCCTATCCTGAGCTCAACCTCCATTTCACAGACGGAAAGCTGAGGCCGGTGAGGTCAAGTCATCTCCCTAGGCAAGGCTGGCTGGCTCTGCACCCAGGCCTCTCTCACTCGGGGTCCCCAGGGCCTCCCATCACATGTGCCACCAGGAGGCCTCGGCACTCGGCCACCCTCTGGCCCTATCTCCTTCCAGCACCTTCTTCCCAAGCTCTTCCATTATAGGCCTGATCTCTGCCTAATGGAGCTTCAGGCAACACAGAATGGGTATCCCATTCGCCGGCAGACGCCCCAATCAATCTCCATTATGCCTGGCGCTAAGGAGCACCGCAAATGAAGCACGATGATGCCACCACCGGTGTCACTCCTGCTGGCTCTGACCCGCCTGCCACCTCCACGCAACGTGCACGCCAGGCCGCAGGATGTCCACAGGCCCAGCTGCCACCTCCTACAGATGCTGGGATGGAGGCTTTGCTCCTGACCCCACTGGCTGTGTGACTGTGGGCCCCTCACTGAACCTCTCTGTGCCTGGGTCTCGTCACCTGAATTACGCCTGACTCCACCTTCTCCCTCGTCTCTCATTTCCAAACCACCCCGACACCTCTCCAGGCCACACACCTGTGTGTCCACTGCCGCCCCTCCATCTGAGCTTGTCTGGATGGCA